ACGTGAACAGCACGATGGCTTTGAGGCAACTGTACTCGGCCGAGTCGACGTGCAGCGCTTTGAGCTTCTCCACCTGCTCCTGGAAGATGCGGATGTGGTCCATGAATGCCACGACGCGGTCGGCGGACATGGGCGAGGCGTGCAGGCCGGCGGCGGCCAGCAGCGGCGCCACGTGCAGCGGCATGGAGCACTGAGCCGCGTTGAGAACGAACAGCTCGCTCCAGGTGAGCCGCAGCAGGGACACCTGGTCGGTGATCTGCAGATCCGGGAAGAAGGGAATATTGCGGGCCCACTCGACGGCGCTGAAGAGCAAGCGCGCGGCCAGCTCGCAGATGTTCTCGATGCCCATGATGTTGTTGGGCTGCATGCACTGGCTGCCGTAGCGCGACGTGGGATAGGGCTCGGCGCGCAGCAGCAGCGAGATGTAGCCCGACAGGTAGCAGTGGCCGTTGAGGGGGTCCCCGTTGGTGAGCGCGTACTGGCCTGGGTTGGGCTGGGTTGGAGGCATTCTTCCTCGCTGAACCGCTGACAAAAAGAAAGAGAGAAAAGAGGCAATGTGCATCCAGGGGGCTTGCGAACATCGCCGCGCCGCAGAGCACCCAACACAAAGCGGAGGCTCTTCCCTCAGCCACACTCTCCTCGCGTACCCCACTCGCTCTCACTCACAACCCATGCCGCGAGGAGGGCTGGGGTAAGGCCCTCCAGCTCCACAGCCCGATATGCCCAGCCATTGACTGTGCCCCTGGCTAACCCAACCCTGCCGGAACCAGGCCTGACTTCAAGTCCCCAGCCTGGTATGGCCAGCCGAGCTCCTAACGCCAAGAAAGTGCCAACCCTCCGCCATCAAGGAGGAACACACAGAGAAATGAAACCTCATTCACCCCTCCAGACAGAAACAAATCAGGGTTTAAAAATATATATAAAGGCGAAACCGGAGAAAGGTTGTGGTTCTAGGCAGATGCTTAGCGGCCTCCTTATTTGCAAGCAAGCAGCGTTTTGCTCATAAAATGTTTCCATATTCTCTAAAAATGCTATAGGGTTATCCTTAAAATAGATACAAGTTACATACCCTCCTAACCACTTACAACTTTTCAGTAGAGAACAAGTATCCCGCACCCCTCCCCTCTTCCCTCCTCCTCTTTGCCCCACAAAAAGTTCTCACTGTTAAAAGCAACAGAAAATTGAATATTTTCAAGAAAAAAAAGTTGAACTTACAGTAGCCAAACATTATTGAAAAAAGTGGGAAATATAATTAATTCCTGTCCTGCGCTGTGCCACTGCAACCTGCAGCCAGCTTTTGCCCAGTGAATGCACGAGCTTGCAACTGCAAAAACACTGGATTCATTAACCATCTGAATGCAAAACGTAAGCATGCTTTGAGTTCTTAAAGCTGACCAAAGTTTTTTTTTTTTTTTTTTTTAAATGTGTATGTTTTACTTCAACACTGCCAGAGTTTCAAATTGCCATGTAAACAAAGGCAACTTTAGGAAAAGTTAGGGCTACTGAACTCTTCCCCCCAACAAATTAATATAGATATGTCCATGTAAATGTAGTTGTGTTACTGCAGTTTGTGTATAATTTTCTTAAGTTTGCATTGATTCTAATTTAATGCAAGTCCCAGTGCAATTTAAGGTATTGAAACATAATGGCTAGGATACTTTTTCTAATTATAGTTTTGAACTTGCAGTTATTTTTCAATTAAATGAGAGCACAATTCAAAGTTGTTTTTTTTTTTTTTTCCTAGATGCCTACAAAATCTCCCTGGAGCTAGAAATGAAGTCGTCATATTTGCCTCCTCCTTGAGATCTGAAGGAATTCAATTTATTTTCCTGTGGCATATAAAATATAATTTTAAAGTCAATTACAAGAAGGAGTAATCTGCATTCTACAAAATTGACTGGCTCACTAATTTGACTATAAGAGATCTTTAACGATTGTTATAAGATAAACTTTAACTGTAAACAGCTAAATATATTTATAAGAAAGTACTGCCTCTTTTGCCACATGAACATGAAACATATCTAAATCCAACATCAAAAATTGTGTTTTAAAAAAACAAAACAAATAACAAACCCATACAACACAGAGATTAAATGATGTGGAAGCGCATGCCAGCTGCAGTCTATGCATTATAGCCAAATCAGAAGGATCGGTAAATGCGTAGTAAATTGTAATTTGTATGCAGTATTTAAGCAGAGGGTGGAGTTTGATGAAGAAATAAAAGGACTATCATGCTTTTTTAAAAAATGACACAACTATGAAAGCACGGTTCAGTCACAAACTTTCCTTTCAAAGTAGAGGGGTGAAAACAAGGCCACAGCTCCAGAGGCGGCGGCCCCAGCTCCGTGGAGAGGAGAGGGAACCAGTGGACGGGCTGGAAGCCCCCCTTCCCCCTAATTAGACCTACAAGTGCAATAAATCTCACTCCTCTTTTTCCAAGCTAAGCTTCCAAAAGGTTGATGGCAGCAATGAATCTAGGTTCAGGGTACTCCAGTCCCCAGACCTCTCCCATATTAAATAAAGGGTATGAAGAGGTGCAGGGGAAAGTGGAAAGAAAAAACACAGAAAAAAGAGTTTTCTGGGGGAAATAAGCACCCCCTCCCCAAGTTCATGCCAGCACAGCCCCAAGCATCCTCACGCACACATGGGAAAGAGACACACAGAGCATATCCAAGACAGAGGCAGGGAGAGGATTTTAAGCCATAGCTCACGATCCCTGGGACACAATCCCGAGCAGGCAGCGGGCGGGGTTGGGGAGCCGGTAAAAGGAGCGCAGGCCGGGAGGGGGAGAGGCAGCGGCAGCGAGCGCGGGGGGGGGGGGAGACGTAGGGGGAGAAAGGCAGCGGGGACAGGGGAAGGTGGGACGGACGGGGACCGTTGGAGCCCCAGCCCCACAGCAGCCACCCCTTGTGAGAGAGAAAGAAAGAGGGCCGGGGCGCCAGACGAAGCGCAGGGAGAGAAGCAGAGAAGAAATATTCACCTTCCCGCCTCATGCCCACTTTGAGGCACTTCTTGAGGCGGCAGTATTGGCACTGGTTGCGGTGATGCTGGTCGATGGGACAGTTCCTGTTGGCACGGCATGTGTAAGTTAAGTTCCTGCGGACGCTCCTCTTGAAGAAACTTTTGCAACCCTCGCAGGTGAATTGGCCGTAGTGCTTGCCGCTCGACTTGTCCCCGCACACCACGCACTCGATGTGCTGCTGGCTCTGGCCCGAGCCGGGCAGGCCCTGGCCCTTGTCCCCCGCCGTGCCGGGGGTGGCGGGAGCTCCGGGCTGGCCCGGGGTCTGCGGCGTGTGCGGCGCACCCGAGCCCGCCTGCTGCTGCTGTTCGCCG